GTCAAGTGGAAAGGATTCTTGTTCAGGTTAGGTTAGAGAGCTTCTGAGGTCCCTTCCAATTCTCATATTGTTACACTGTGAACAAGGCAGAGAGAAGGCTAAGCATCTGAGAGGAAAATACTAAAATCAGCAGCAACAACTCTCTCACCTCAAGGTCAGGGAATTATATATAAGCCTGGGACCTTTTCTTTAATCAAGCAATAAATAAATAAATCAACAAACATTTATTGTGTCTACTAAGTGCCAGGCACTGGGAATACAAGTATGCATAAAGAAGGAAATAATTCCCACTCTCAAGGAGCTTATATTCTAAGGCATCATTGATAAGAGTATTCTCAAGGTTTCTTTTGAAAAGTAGAGTCAGGAAAAGGACCTATATGTACAAAAATATTTATAGCAGCTCATTACTGGGGGCAAAAATTAGAAATTGAGGAGATGCCCATCAATTGAAAAATAGTTGAACAAGTTGTGGTATGTGATTATGATGGAATACTATTGTGCTATAAGAAATGATGAGCAGGATGCTCTCAGAAAAACCTGGAAAGACTTGCATGGGCTGATGCAAAGTGAAATGTACTGTGTACAATTCTAAGATGATCAGCTGTGAATGACTTAGCTATTCTCAGCAATAGAAGGATCCAAGACAATTTTGAAGGACTTATGATGGAAAATGTTATCCCTCCCCAAAGAAAGAACTTATAGTGTCTGAATACAGATTGAAGCATCCTGATTTCTTTATTTTTCTTGAGGTTTTTTTTGTCTGTTTTCTTTCACAACATGACTATTGTGGATATGTTTTACATGACTACACATGTAAAATCTATATCAAACTGCTTGCCTTCTCAATGAGCAGGAGGTAGGGGGGAAAGGAAGAAGAGAGAGAATTTGGAACTCAAAAAATTTTTAAATGAATGTTAAAAATTGTTTTTACATGTAACAGGAAAATTTTAAATAAATATTTAAGTGAAAAAAAGAAAAAAGAAAAATGGAGTCAGGAAAATGTAGATGAGATTAAGTATTGATTGATTATAATTGCACTTTAGTAGAAAAACATTAGACTGTGTCTAGTTGGTTGGGGGGGTGATAGTTCCCTTTGATAGTAATAAAGAAGATAGGAAGAAAGGAGGGTTTTGGGGGAAAGATAATGAGTTCAATTTTGGGCATGTTGATTTTAAGATGTTTATAGGACATACTGTTCCTATAAGATGTTCCATAGGCACTTGGAGATATGACTGAAGGCCAGTAGGGAGGTCAGCGCTGGATAAAGAGATCTGAGAATCATCTTCATAGAGGTGATAATTCAACCCATGTGAGCTGACAGAGCCTTAAGAACACCCATGGTTAGCCAGAATGAACTGAATGAAGATCTAGTAAAGAAGACAGGTAGGAAGTGAATAGTTTCATGAAAATCTAGAGAGGAGAAAGTATTGTTGAGAAGGGTGATTTACAGTGTCAAACACTGAGAAAGACTGAGAAAGGACCATTAGGTTTATCAATTAAGAGATCATTAGTAACTTTGGAGAGAACAGTTTCAGTTGAATGATGAGGTGGGAAGCCAGACTACAGAGAGTTAAGAGAAGAGTGAAGCAAAGGAAGTGGAAGGAAAGGAGGCATCTGCTATAGACAACATTTTGAAGGACTTTACCCATGAAAGGGATGAAACATATAGGATAATGCTAGCAGCTGACAGGGACAAATTGAAGATAAATGAGAGACTAGGGGACAGTCTGCTGGAGAAGGTAAGAAGGAAAAGGATCACTTGTGCCCATAGGGATATGTCTTTGCAAGGAGAAGGGCTACCTCATCATGTGAAGCAGAGGAAAGAAGAAATAGTGGCAGAAGGCACTTGAGTGAAGTGAGATGAGGAGAAAAGAGGGAACTCTCAGTTAATGGCCTCAATTTTTTTCAGTGAAAAATGAGATAAGATTCTCATCTGTGGCAGGTCTGAGCATGGATGAATAAGTTTGGAGAACCTGGTGTGCTAAGTGGAGCAGTAAATCAATTAGGGAGGTGTAAAAGGATTACTTTGCTTCTGTGAGGACCCAGTTGATATTATGTACCATAAATCCATACTGTACCCAGTCAATAAAGTTTTGTGATTTTTCTCCACCTCCATTCAGTAGCATAAGAATAGGAGCAAAGGTAGCAAATGGTTGAAGTAATCCAAGGTTGGGGCTTGGCAGGGCATGAATAGCATGAATAAAGAGGCAAGAGTCTGCAGAGTAGAAGAGAGTGCAGAATTAAACTGGATTACCAAGGAATCAAGATGGGGAAAAGAGGAGAGCATAGTCAGTGCAGGGGTGATGGCCTAGGAAAGGATTGAGGCATGGAGGAATAGAGATCACTGTGAGGATGAAGAACAGGGAAATCTGGAATGATAAAGAATTTTGATCAAATTAAGGAATTTCAGAGTTCATGAACATGGAAGTGGAACATTTGTGGGTAATGGCAAAATCAAAGGTATGACCACTTCAGTTTGTAGATGAAATGGGGTGGAGGAGTAGGTCATAGAAAATGAATAAATTGAGAAATTTGCAAGTTAGGGTGTTTGAGTATTGATATAGAGAAAAACCACGAAGTAGGCACTGATCTCACTGAGGAAGTAAGGAGAGTGTCCTAAGCTGGTAGACAAAAGCTACCAGAAACTTGATTGAGGGATAAGTATGGATTGAATGAACCTCAGAGGAGGAGAGATTACTGAATGATAGCGGTGGAGGAAGAGCCTGGGAGTAACAATAGGAAGGAAGGAGTATTTCAGCTCCCTCACTATGACTAGTGAGTTGGGGATATGAGTGAAAGTACAACCAGTGCTGGAAGAGGTGGCTCAGATATAGCATCATCAGGGGAAAGCCAGGTCTCAGGGAGCACAAGGAGTTGGAATGAGTGAGAAAGGAAAAAAGCTAAGATAAGATTCTGACTTATGGATCAATCTATGAAGCCCACACCACAATAGGCAGGAGCAGGGAAAGGAGTAATGCAGTCTGAACAGGCAGCAGTCAGAAATTTGAGGTGGGTCTAGTCTAGGAAAGGCCTCTAGAACACTACAGAAAGCCTTGGGGTGACAGGAAAGGGAAGAAGGTAGGGAAGCAGAAGCCAGGGGCCTGAGGCCTGGATGGGGCTGACATAGGGTACTTTGGGAGACTCAGGAGGGAGGACACCACAGGTAGGGGGGCTGGATTGGGACTGATACTGGGGTGAAGGCAGAGGTCCTAGGCATGCAGGCTGAATATGAGGCTCCCCAAGAGGTTTCAGGGGCAAAGGCAGAAACCACATGCAGGGTGGGACTGCATTTGGAGGAGCAGCATTTGCTGGGTAGTCCCAGAGACAAAGACAGAAGCCACTGCTTTTGCATCAATAAATAACATGGGGTCTATCAATGTGTCCATCCTCAAAGCTTACCAGCTTGGTAAGACTTGCTGTTCTGTGGCATTCTTCATAATGCCATTTTGCATTCAACTAGCATAGCTTTCAACAACCCAGGCTTACCTATAGAGTTTAATGAGACACAAAGTAGAACTTTGGCCAACATCTTGTGTTATTGTTGGTAACTGGTGAAGCTGGTATTCAGGAATGTTATTTAACAATTTGTTTGCTCAGAAAAATAAAAGTGCCCAGTCATATCCTTGAATCCTTTCCTTTCTTAGTTATCCATGTTCATGAGAAGCATTGAAATGATATAGTCAGAGCTCAAACATTACTGCTCCGCTTGTGATAGCAACTCAAATCTTGGTCATGAAACCCAAATTCATAAAAGGATAATAGTTTTCAGAATCATGGGCCAGTGACTGAAGATGGCTATACAAATTGTCCACCCCAAGGTCTCCATTACTGATGCTTATAGGCACAGAAAGTAACAATTGAATTTTGTATCATTTAATTAAATAAACTATAGTAACATATATTGGTTATTTATTTGGACATTTAGCAGCTCTGCAAATTGTATTTCATGTATATGGAAAATGTGAGCCCAAGCCATGACTTTTGGAGTAGTGAATTATAGGTTTTGGGTTTTTTTTAAACCAGTGAATAGATGTTTGTAAATCTGTTGGGCTTGTAATGAATTCATTTGATAGGTAATGCTTTCAATACCTCTCCTGACACTGACATTCACCACTGTCCTGACTAGCCCCAAGTCATTCTTCCCCTTGCCATATTGGTACAGGGAACTTCCAATCTTGTGCTATATCAAATTCATGGTCCATTTTTCCATCGATGAAGATTCCCACATGGAAACCAAAGAGGAACAGAAGGCAAGGGACCACAGGCAGCCAAAAAACAATAATTCAGCCCTTTCCCACCAAAAAGCAAACTGATTTAGGGCTTGTTTTCCTTCTTATACAGTTCAACCATGTCCAATATCAGACCAGCCCAATGCTTTACAAATCTCTTTACTAGTCATGCTCAGGGTAGATCCATTTTGTAAGAGAAGTGACAATACACATCTTTGTTTCAAATGTGATCTGAAGACTTTCCTTCCTTTCAAAAGTCTGTTAAAGATTGGGCAGATTCTCTGCTTCAACAGGGAAAGAGACTCGTTATGTTTAAATGCTGTATAGTGCAAGTCTGTGTGTGCATCAAGCATTAGCAGCAAATATACATGTAATGATCATGTTCTTCATAATAAATGAATAATAAATGTGGCTTCTTCCTTCTCTTTTCTTTCTTTCTTTCTTTCTTTCTTTCTTTCTTTCTTTCTTTCTTTCTTTCTTTCTTGCTTTCTTGCTTTCTTGCTCTTGCTTTCTTTCTTGCTTTCTTTCTTTCTTTCTTTCTCTTTCTTTCTTTCTTTCCATAGAAGCTTTGTCCCATTCCATTTCAAACTTCAGCCCATTAGTCCCTCTTTAGGCAGCCTGGTGACCCTTCACTCATGGAGGGCTTACCACATTGGTTACAGATTTAGTGCAGATGCCCAATTGGCTTTTAGTCCTACTGTAGCTTAGAACTTCCAAATTCAAAGGATCTACCAGTTTCACCCTTCCAACAGTAAGGACTACAGGCATGTGTCTGTTCTCAAATGTGTCTATTTTCACTCATACTCCATATTTCAAATGATAACATGTTATATCAAATCATAGAATTATAGAATATTAGAGAAAGAAGGAATCTTAGAAGTCCTCTAGGGCAGTGTTGGAGTTCAGTCCAGAAAATAGTACATTTCTTCTTGGCTCCAATCCACTACTTATATAAAAGACCCTTACACCTGGGTTTGTGTGCTGACTCTACTACCAACTTGCTGTGTGATCTTGGGCAAATTCCTTAACTTCTTTGTGTCTTGTTTTTTGCATCTTTCAAATGGTAATAATAATACCAATTAGAATTGTTAAGAAGATTAATTGAGATAATAAAGATCTTTCTACAAAGCATGACAGCAGTGTAAGGTAGTAAAATTATCACCATCATGGCACTAAACTAGCCTGGGGAGAGGATGCCCTAGATCTATTATGCAACATTCATTCCCCAGTTTCATCTCTCCCCTTTTAACATCTCTGCTTTATATGAAGGGACAGCCCTGAGAAGAGAGGGACAGGGGACAGCAGCAAATGGAAGACTGCAATAGCTAGTTGCTGTAATTTCATTCCTTGAGATTTGGATTAATTCTTACATCTGTCATGTTATTTCTATGCTTTTAGCTTGTTATACATCCTTGAATTTCCACCAAACTAAGAGAGATAAAAGGTGAAAGCAAACATGTCTCTAAGGTGTCCACAAATTGTGACTTCCAAAAAAATCCAGTGAAGATCCCTCACATGGCCAGAACTTATAAACTACCAATAAATGTAACATATTCCTTGAAGTATTTGGCCATTTCCTAAGTTTGTGGAAGAACAGGACAATTTGTGGATAAATGCAGGTTGTTGACTCACTAATGCTAATATGAAAGTTTATTCATCTACTCTATGTATTGAAATATCCTGACATCCAGGGTAAGCAATGAGATTTCTTCTGAGAACCAATAATGGCTACAAACTTTGATAATGGCAGTCACAGTGAACCCCATAGTCTTGGTAAATCAGATGTTGTTATTTTTTTCTACCACTAATAATTTCAAGTTGAAGACTATTATAGAAAAATAGAAGAGGTTTTGGTTTGCCCCCAAATAGAATGTAGACAGTGGGATAGTGATTTCCTCAAACTATAGAGAATTGGGTGAAAGTTTGACCTCAATGATTATTAAGGTCCCTTTCAAAGCTAAGATTTGGTGATTCCATGTTTCAGTCTTAAAAGTCATTTGCATTTTGTATCTTCAGACTCTATAGACATGATTCTTGAGAACCAGAAAAAAAGTTCATTTCCCTCCTTTCTTAGAACTAGAGTATATTCCCCAAGATGTGAAATGCCTGGCTTGAGTATCTCCACTGCCAGAAACTGTCTGTGGTAAATGATAAACTACAAAATGGTGTGCAACAGGTAGTTCAGAGCAGCTGGGAGAAAAGCCAGATTGGTACGGTGTCTTTGGCCATCTCCATTTCTATGCCCACATTGCCAGCTTCTGATTAGGAGAGTATATCCTAGGTTTATACTTGTGGGTCTCATCCATCACTTGTCCCTCACTTTTTTCATTCTTTCCTTCTTATTTTCTCTCCTCATCTTTCTTTTTATCCTTCTCTCTCCCCTTCCTCCTTTTCTCTTCCTCTTCCATTTTCAAAGAATTGAATAGCTTGATAATTTGTTTTTGAAATCAATAACAATGGAAGTAAGGGCACTCTAATCTTGTTAGAAGGAAGCATCACAACTAGGGAATGGCCAAAGACGTGTTCCAAAATCTGGTATATGTAGATGCATTACAAATAGAAAAGTTGCTTTTTCTTTTTTATGTTGAGTTATTATCAGAGACTGGATTCAAGATGGAAAATAGTCTCCTAGCAGCCCCTTCTGTTGTCTTTGTTGGCTGTGATGCTCCACATCATGGATTTCTGGAGGCTCACTTGTTTTGGTAGAAGCTGGACATAGTGACATATGCTTCTTCTTGACTTAACCTCAGGTTTGCATTGATGGGTTGTCCTTGGGCAGCTGGATTTGGAGCCAAGACTCCTAGTCTGAGTGGAAAAGGGAATGTCAAGGCACTGTTTCTGGAGTCGGAGCTAAGGAGCAGGCCCCCACAGAAATGAGTTTCACTTTTGCTATTCTCCTGATGGTTGGGTGACTTTGAGGCCATGACCATAGAAAGGTCACATGTATTGAAGTTCCCATGCAGGCAAGCTGGGGGTGAGTTCCCTCCATAAACCACTGGTGGGATGATGTTATTCTCAGATGGCCAATCTGGGCTGAGCCCAATCTTCTCTGTGACATTGATGTCTCGGGGCAGCGGGACTTGCAGAAAACCTTCTGCCTCTTCTTTGGCTTGAATGCCATCCACTTTATGAATTGGATAGTCAAGGAAACTTTCTGGATTGAAGCTGATGTTGAGATTCTGGACAAGAAAAAAGATAATGTGTTCAGATGTAGAAGAACATGCTAACTAGAGTTCCTGAAAATCATTCTTTCTGATAATGGATCAGAATATATTTCCATAAGGATATGAAAAGTGCCTGTCAGCAGATAGTGTTATTAAGATGTAAGCCTCCAGAAAGAGTTATAAACTCTGGGCAATGAGTTTCTGGTCCTTTCCAGAGTTGGGAACCTGTGGCCTTGAAGCCACCCGCGGCCCTCTTGGTCCTCAAGTGCGGCCCTTTGACTGAATCCAAATGTCACAGAACAAATCCCAATAATAAAAGGATTTGTTCTGTAAAACTTGGACTCAGTCAAAAGGCTGCACCCAAGGACTGAGAAGGAGCCACAGGTTCCCCACTGGGTCTAACTCCTTGTGAAGCCCAATGTTTCCCTGGTTTCTTTCACTCTCTGATAATGAGGTCTTCGGAGGTGCTATAGCTCTTTTAGGCCCTGTATGCAGTGGTGCTGTGGTCATGCTGTACTGGCCTGGGAAATCCAGGGATAAGAGAACAAGACTAGTATCTTATTATGGCCTTCTTCCCCCAAAACTTGTTCATAGCATCCTCTTGATCACTAGAGAGTGTCTCAGAAAAGGGCCAAGACCTCAGGCTCTACTACCCCTTATCCTGTAATCCCTCCCCTGGGATGCTCTAATCTACCTGTCCAAAGTCCTGAAAGTTTCAGAAAAAAAAATCCAACCTTTTGTGGTTTTCTACACAGCTGTTCCAGAGTCGTCTTGTGGTCAGGGAGGTTGGGCCACAAAACAGGTTTAATTCTGAAATAACAAAATGTTTATAATAAAAGAGGCAGTAGATGCAATGTGTGCAACTTCCTACTGGATCAAAATTCATGAGAGGTATAGTGGATAGAAGGCCAGTTTTAGAAACAGGAATATCCTTGCCTATCAAGCCTTGCCTCTGATATAGGCTAGCTGATACAGACCAACAGACCATTGTAAGTGACCTAATAATAATAGTTAGTATTTATATAGTGCTTTAAGGTCAACATAGTGCTTTAAAAATCTCATTTTATTCTCACAGAAACTCTGAGAGGTAGGTGTTATTATTAACCCCACATCTCAGATGAGGAAACTGAGATAACCATAAGTGACTTGCCCAGGGTCACACAACTAATAAATATTGTAGGCTGGATTTGAACTCAGGTCTTCCTGACTCTAAGCCCAGCACTCTCTCGATTGCATCACCAAACTGCCTCCCAGACAATCCTCTAAGATAAAATAGAAGTGGATCTAGTGTTGGAAGAAGCCTCCACATTGGGATTTCCCTACATTGATTCCCTACATTGGTCCAGAGGTGGACCACGTCAATAAAAGTATGAGATTTGGAGTCTGTAATTAACTAATTGTGGGATTATGTACAAGTCTTCACTTCCCTTGGGCTCAGTTTTATCTTCTGTAAAATAAGGGGGTCTGATTATATAATCTACAGGCTCTACTCCTGACTCAAGACTTTCTCCAACGTGTCACAGAAGCCTCTTTACCTTGCCTTTATGGATGTGACTCTCACCCTGGAAGTGTGCTCCAGACCTTGCAGCCTCTTTCTCCTGGAACCTCCACTTAAAGACAGTTGTCTAGACCAGCCATGTCTTCATTTCTCTTCAGGGCCCATTCCTGACTCTCTATAATTTCTCTCCCACACACCCTCAGGACTATCTTTTCCTCTATCCTCTCCTGCTTTTTCATCTTCTTAAGTGCTTTCTTACCCCAATTAGAATATAAACTCCATGAAGGTAGGAACTATCTTTCTGCTTGTATTTGTATTTCCAATATTTAGCACAGTGCCTGGCACATAGTAAGTGTTTATTAAATGTTGATTGATTGACCAAACGATCTTCCAGCTTTATCATCCTATGATGCTAGGTCACACAGTGGAAAGAGTGTTAGCCTTGGTGCTGAATTCTCTAGGTATGAATTTGCAGAAAGGAAGCAGTAAACTCTGGACCATAGGGAAAGAGACTCTTAGTGAAAGAGCAAAGCTGAACACCAACACAATATTTTTGATACAGACATGAACCCAAAGTTGGCCCAATGGACCTTCCAGAAATAGTTGTCAGGTTATTCAAGGAGATAACTTTAAGTGTTCCTGTTTCTTGGACTTCATCCAATATCTTATTTATTATTTTTGACTTCCCAAGAAATGACTGAGGGGAGGCACCCTTGTATGGCAGAAAAGTTGCTGAATTTGTAGTTTGGATTAGAGGACCTGGGTTTGAGCCTACCTCAGTGACTCCCTTACCCTCTTTGGTCTCTTGATTTCTTCTCTGTAAAAAAAGGGAGTTTGACTAAATGATCCATTATCCAGAAAAATGTCACTGGGCCTTGAGAATTAGCTGAGAAGAAGGAGGGACAGTTTTGGCTTTTCAGTTCCTACAATACCTTAATACAATCCTTCTGAATAAGAAAAGGACCTCACCTTTTTTCCCATAGCAAACAGATCACAACAATCCCCAGGATCCCAGAAAAGAAGCTCAGAGTGACGATGATGAGCATGACATAATCCAGCTCCTCTGCAAACCAAGGAAGGACAAGGCCATTGTTATTTATCCTTTTACCAATATCCACAGTCCCCTGTGGCTTCATCTACTTAGTTACTTGGGCAAGCCCATTGTTTTACCTTTAAAGAGGTTCTGTAACTTGGAAAACAATTCATGTAATAATAACATTATGGAGAAAAGCTAACTTGAAAGATTTTATAATTATGATTAATGAAATGATAAACACAAGTCCTGAAGATAGAAGATGAAACAGACCACTCACCTCCTGCCAGAGCAGGGATGGATTTAAAATGCAGAGACAGAGAGATATTGTCAGACATAGCCAATATGGAAATTTGTTTTGTCAGGTTATGCAAGCATGCATTAAAGGCTTTGTTTTTAATTTAAAATAATTCACTCAGTAGAGGGATGGTGAGAGACATTAATAAAAGAAGAAAACATAGTAGTTACATATGAATTTGAGTAGCAGTGTAGCAGTGTCCTTTAAAACACCATGTTTGGGAAACTGCACCAAAAAACAAGTCTATCCAACACAGCAGCAACATCATCAACACCACCATCATCATCATCATGCTCATCATCATCACCATTATGATAATTATTATTATGTTATAAATATATATTATGTTACATTATTTTATTTTGTGTTTTGGATTGGTTTGTATATTAATAAAATTGTAATACAGTTTTTAAAATTTTTATTAATTTATTTTGATTTATCAACAATCACTTCCATATGCTTGTGAGTTTAAAATTTTTCTCCCCCTTCCTCCCCACCACCCTCCCCGAGACGACTCGATCTGATATAGGCTATACATTTACATTCCTATTAAATATATTTTCATATATATATATATACATATACATATATATACATACATATATATATATATATACATATATATATATATATTATATATACATATATATATATATATATATATATATATTAGTGATGTGGTAAGTAAAAATTAAAACCAATAGGAGGAACCATCAGATAGAGGAAACAAAACTCAACAGAAGAGAAAAAACAATAGCAATTCAACTTCCATAGTTCTTTCTTTGGATGTGGATAGCATTTTCCATCACGAGGCCTCTAGAGATGTCTTAGATCCTTGTATTGCTGGGAAGGGTTAAGTTTATCAATATTAGTCATCGCACAACATGGCTGTTATTGTGTACAATGTTCTCCTGATTCTGCTCACTTCACTTAGCATCAGAAGTCAGCCTGTTCATTGTTTCTTATAGCACAATAGTATTCCATTGCATTCGTATACCACAACTTGCTCAGCCATTCCCCAATTGATGGGCATCCTCTCAATTTCCAATTCTTTGCCACCACAAAAAGAGCTGCTATAAATATTTTTATATATGTGGGTCTTTTTCCCATTTGTATGATGTCTTTGGGATATAGCCCTAGAAGTGCTTGTAATACATTTTTTTTAAACCAAAAAGGGGTTCTGTAGCCACAGGCCCAAGATAAAGCAATTTTCTGAATGTTTTGGGGAATTGTTGCTTCATCAAATAGCACTAATTTGAACGACAGAGTCAACATGACTTGCAAGGCCAAATATGATCAATCATTAAAGATATCCCCCCTCACCCGCAATAGGCAGATAATTACTGAGCAAAGAATCTTCCTGGGGGTGAGAACAAGCTGTGGGCTGATTATAAAGATTCCAATAGTCTGAGCAATCTAATCTAAATCACTAAGCATTTATTAGTGCCTCCTACATGCAAGGCACTGTGCCAGCCACTAGGAATACAAAGACAAAATGAACAATTGTCTTTGCCCTCAAGAAGCTTGCATTCTACTGGGATGGTTTAATATGCAATGTGATTAATACATGTCATATCTCCCAATAGAATGTGAGCTCCTTCAGGGTAGGAATTTTTTTTCTTTTGCTTTGTATCCCTAGTGCTTATCATAGTGTCTGGTACAAAGTGAGTGCTTAACAAATGCTTGTTGATGGATTGATAACTATATTCACTGGTGACTGAGAAAGGAAAGAAAGCTAATATTCAGGTAGGGAATCAGGAAAGGTTATTCCTGGGTGGTAATACATGAACTGAACTTTGAAGGAAGCTAAGGATTCTAAGAAGTGGACATGAGGAGGACTATTTAATAAAGCCACTGAGGTTACTGGTGAATTGAGGAAACCTAGAGAGCACAAGCTGCTACATGGCAGCTGGAAAGTGGGAAAAGAAAGGTCAGAACCAGAGTAATTGGTAGCTCCTAGCGTTCTCGGGACAATAGAGTTGGACGCTCTCCATTTTCACCCTACATTAGGGCTCTATTCATTTTACAATTCTGTGAAATTGACAAACTCTCGTGTTATGCAACCATTAGGTGACTTTTAGGGGTTTAAGAATCGTTCAGGAGTTGGCAAACTATAGTTTGCAGGGTCTAATTATCTGATGCTTCCTTTACATTTTAGCTACCTCCTTATTTTCTCTAAAGAAGGTACAAGAGCATTACTTATAAGACTCTTACATGGCACCTGGAAAATGGAATGGCCTGACGGGGGGAAAGTAGTCCAGCCCTGCAGAAGTCACCTGTCCCTTTCCTTCTCCTCCTTTTCTTCCTCCTCCAATTCTATGCCCCATCTATCTATCTATCTATCTATCTATCTATCTATCTATCTATCTATCTATCTATCTATCTATCTATCTATCTTTCTATCTATCTATCTATCTATCTATCTATCTATCTATCTATCTATCTATATGTCTGTCTGTCTGTCTAATAAAACTAGCTAGCATTTATATAGAGCTTTAAAGATTATCTTAATTGATTCTTACAACAACCTTATGAGGTAGGTGCTATTATCATCCCCATTTTAAAGATGAGGAAGCTGAGGCAGGTTAAGTGACTTGTTCAGGGTCACATAAATAGTAAATATCTGAGGCAGGATTTGAACTTGGATCTTTCTTACTCCTAGTCCAGTGCTCTTACCCATTATGCCACCTAGGTGTCTCAACCAATATATGGTTATAAAGTATCTATTTAAGGTGCTGTGAGTGCCCAGTGCCTGGCATATAGTAAGTGCTATGTAACTGCTAGCTGTTATTAGAGTAGTAGTTAGATAACATAGTGGATAGAGCACTGGACTTAGAGCCAAGAAGACTGAGTTCAAATGTCGCCTTAGTTACTAACTATGACCCTGGACAAGTTACTTAACCTCTGTTTGCCTCAACTATAAAATGAGGTTGATAATAACACTATCTCTTAGAATTCTGAGGATCAGATGAGATAACATTTTAAAAGTGCTTAGCATAGTGCCTGGCACATAGTAGATGCTTAACAAATCCTTCCTTCTTCCTCCCTTCCCTCTTCCTTTCCTCCCTCTCTTCCCTCTTTCCTTCCTCCCATCCTCCATCCCTCCCTTCACCTTCCTTTTCCCTGCCCTGTCCCTCTCTCTTCTTCTCTCTCCCCTCCTTCCTTCCCTCCCTCTTTCCCTTTTCCCCTTCCTCTTTCCTTTTTTTCTCTTCCCCCCTCCCTTTCTCCCTCTCTCCCCTCCTCTTTACCCTCCCTCTTTTCCTTCCCTTCCCTTTCCCTTCTCTCCCCCCTCCTTCCTCTCCTCTCTCCTTCCCTCTTTCCTTTCCTCCTCCTTTCCCTCTTTCCATCTTTCCTTCCTTCAGATAGGCCACGGATATAAATAAGCATAGAACATAGTCATTGTGTACCTGTTTTAGGTCTCAGTGGTGTCCTGAAGTAGACACTGGGGCTCCAATCGCTCCAGGACCCTGCAAAATAGGTCCCACCGGGAAGTGATCGTACTTTAACCTCATATGTTGAATTTGGTTGTAGCTTTCTCTCCAGAAGTGTTACAAGAGGATAGGCTGAGCTTATGTGCTAAAGAGTGAAAGATGTAATTTTGTTATTCTTATTCATGATGAAGAAATAGGTTACATTCAAGTTTAACAAAATATTACAAGTCAAATTTAATTCAGTAATGTTGCATTCCTATGGGCTTATCATTTGAAGATCAAATTCCTTGGAAGTCTCTAACAGGTTTTAGCAAGCCCATAGGTGTTATACTGGGCAGGTGGACCTCCTCACATCACATTGTATAGGTGGCTGTCTACTTTGTTTATGGTCAGACTTGGCCAGAGGAAAAGGAAAAGTGAATTAGGTAAGCTAGACTTCTGAATACAGTTCATTTTGCCCATCACTTTACTTCCTGTCTCTGAACTAAAGAAGAGAAGGCTGAGGAACGTGGAGGATGAGCCAAGCTTATACATATAAACTTAAAGGATCCTCTCTCCTGAAAACCATTAGCTTGGCTGCAGATGATGGTAATAATCTCAAACCTGTGAGGATGCAAAAGGCAGGTAGAGGCATGCTTTTGGTTTGGAAGGGAGAAGCAATATCATTATATCATAAAGATACTTGGACTGTTTCTTTCATTAACCCAAGAGAGGCTATGACTTAGTGGAGACATGCAGGGATACTTTTGCATTCACTGTAGTGATGTGGTCCACCTTGCTTATGTATCCACTTTATTATGATTACATTTTATATTATGTACTGTATTTCCCTAGTCTTTCTCTAAAATAATTTGCAATGAGGAATCTCAAGTGCCATTTCCCCAGGAGAGGTCCTGAGGCTGGGAGTTGGAGGTTGGGCCAATTCTGGGAGAGGGAGGGCAGGAGAAAGGTGACACAGCTAGTAAGGGTCATGTGTCTGAGGTCAGATTTGAACTCAGGCCCTCCTGAATCCAGGGCTGGTGCTCTAGCCACTGCGCCACCTAGCTGCCCCCCTGAACCCCTAACTCTCGTCCCTGCCTATCTCTCAGGGTTGTGAGGATCAAATGAGATTGTCTTTGTAAAGCACTTCTTGCTTTTGCCTGTCACATATTCGGTGCACAAGAAATGCTTGTTCCCTTCCTCCCTTCCCCTGCCTGTCCCCAAAGGGAGAGCAAATCAACTTAGCTTCAATAACATCATAATTCAATGACAGCTGGAGTCAGACTCCTTAACTACAGAGTGGCAACTAGGTGGTGCAGTGGATAAAGCTCTGGGCATGGAATAAAGAAGACTCATCTTCATGAGTTCAAATCTGGCCTCAGACACTCACTTAGCTGTGTGACCCTGGGCAAGTCACTTAACCTTGTTTGCCTCCGTTTCCTCTTCTGTAAAATGAGCTGGAGAAGGCAATGTCAAACCACTCTAGTATCTTTGCCAAGAAAATCCCAAATGGGGTCAAGAAAAGTCTGATAGGACTAAACAACAACAGAGGAAGTAAAGCACAGTTTTGAGATTTGCTGTGCTGCTAAGCCTCACTCCAGTGGGCCCTGGTTACTTCCACTCTCATCCAGCATTTGGCCTGGTTTAAAAGAAGTCATTATAAACCAGTGCTGCATATCCTGAAGCAACACAATAGAAGAGAACTTCGATTCTCCCAAATCTCAGAGTTGGAAAGGCATCTAGTCCAATTTCTCTCCGCCTGGTATCAGAGACTCCTCTGTAACTTGTTGAAAACCTTCCCTTAGCTGCACAGAGGACAGAAAGAAACAGTGGACTTTAGGGGACTCAGAAATGTTCAGAACTGACCTGGCCCTGATATCCCCTCACAGTCAGACTGCCTATTTTATTTACTGTGCTAGGATAAAAGTGTAGCAAGAAGAGGAAACAAAATAGGGGATTTTCCCTATTTGCCACATATCTTGGATATTCAGAAGGCTTTCAAAAATACTGTTTATCTACTTACCATCCAGTTGCTTTTACTATTTTCTTGGTGGTAGGCTATATCATGGACTAAATCTTTTACATAGTCATTCCATAAGTGTGTTGTATTGAATGTGAGCACAAAGTCATTTGCTGCCTTGCGGTAGGTGATGTTTATGTCAAAAGGAGCTTCAGGCTTAACTAGAAATGATAACAGAAAACAAGTCAGTACATAGGGCAGATAGGAAGGATAAACAAGAAGGTGACCGCTTTCTCTAACCCTCCCCCTTCTCTGAACCCCTAACTCTCATTTTTGTTTTTTTGGCTAGGCAATGGGGTAAAGTGACTTGCCCAGGGTCACACAGCTAGTAAGGGTCATGTGTCTGAGGTCAGATTTGAACTCAGGCCCTCCTGAATCCAGGGCTGGTGCTCTAGCCACTGCGCCACCTAGCTGCCCCCTGAACCCCTAACTCTCGTCCCTGCCTATCTCTCAGGGTTGTGAGGATCAAATGAGATTGTCTTTGTAAAGCACTTCTTGCTTTTGCCTGTCACATATTCGGTGCACAAGAAATGCTTGTTCCCTTCCTCCCTTCCCGTGCCCCTCCCCAAAGGGAGAGCAAATCAACTCAGCTTCAATAACATCATAATTCAATGACAGCTGGAGCCAGACTCCTCAACATTTAAGTTCTCTCAGTGCCCCAACTAAGCATCACATCGGCGTGGACGAGGAGGCAGAGTGGTATGGTATGGATGTCTGACCTAGAGAGGAATCCAGAGACCTGGGTTCTAGTTCTGGTTTTACCACTGTGGGACCCTGGTCCAGTCACTTATACCTGCTATGTTTCATGCCCTCCAAGAACTGTAACTAGGGCAGGGCTGCCAGGTCTTAGGCCCTGGGCTCTGTACTTAGAAGATACCAAAAGCACTCGCAGTCTTCCAAAAGAAAAAAAACAACAATAAGAACAACGGAGCTTAGCACTTTGTTAGCAAGGAGAGCTAGTTAAAATAGGAAGCTAATGGAGACGTCACTTTTTTCCTCCCACCTGAATGCCTACCTGGCCAGCCCTGATCTGTTGTCTTTCTTTCTACCTCCCCTCCTATAAGCAACAGGCCATGAGCAAGGGACAATGTATAGCTTGAGGAACCTTCCATGCCACTCATCCAGTCATAGTCTGGGCCGCCCCAGATTGCCCGTGCTTATTCTATGTCCACCTCTGCCAGATGCTAAAATTGCTATGTAGGTCCCTGGCTCCTCATCTGAGGGTGATATTTCAAATCATTTGAATAAATAATTCAATGACCAATGAGAGCCTGCTATGTTTGAGTTAGATACAATGATGAAAAAAGATAAGTTTCTGCCTCCAAAGAACTTAAAATGCAGTTAGTAGGGGAATGGAATGCATATCCAAATAACTATCATGTATTATAATAATAATAATAATAACAATAATAATAGTAATAACTGTAGAAAGTGCAACTAGGAGGTCCAAGTGGAGTGGTTAAAGAGATTTAAGGAAGAGGACCTCATCTTTAGCTTGGAGACTCATGGAAGCCTTCAAGTCAGTGCCAGGGGCAGGGCAGGAGCCTCCAACCAAATGCTCCCCAAAGCAGAGGGACACATGAACTCAGTGTGGAAGACAGTGAAGATGGGGGATGGGGGTCCATCAAGATCATAAAAGAGGACTGTGGGAAAGCACACTAGTTTCAATGGTACAAGAGGTTAGGAAAGCAAGCATCTTTGAGAGTCTTCCAAGCTTGGTAGCTGAGCTGGAGAGACCAGGCTTCCTGCCCATCTCTTGCAGGGTTCCCTGTTCTGCCCCAGCCAGGAGGTCGCCCACTCACTCTAGCTGAAGGTGTGGTTGCTGCTGAGTGGGTGGCCTGCTTGTTTACAGGGCTGATCTCAAACAGAGATAGGATCCATGGAAGGTTTGGCACCTAACCAAACCTAGAGGTAAAGAGAAAAGCGATTAAGCGCAAACTTATCTTCTGTGGCAACTGAGTCTACTCTTCTGTTTTGAAGGTTCAGTAGAATCAGTTCTTCATGATTGGGTGAGGAACGCTATTATAACATATGCAAACAACTGCTGCCTCCTCTGGGACAATTCATCTCTACTAAAACACCACTCACATGAGAAAACACATTAATAGTAATCAGAAAAGTGAAGGAAGGAGGGAGATTGCAGATAAACCCAGAGACCAAAGAGCAAGTAATAGTCTTTTCTCCTGACTCCATTGCTGGTAGACCACTCTTTTCCTCCAATCCAAATCCTTCTCTTCTCTCGAGACCCAAATGGGGCCTGCTTTTCTCCTAAAAATCTCAGAACCTAAGCCCATTCCTCAAGGACTTTTCCTCTCCCTAGTCCTCTCCCTTATCTCCTCTCTCCCCTCTGGAATGCCTTCCATTTAATGGCTCCTCTTTGCCCGCAGAATCAAGTCCATTATTCAAGATCTGCAATCTGGTCCCAAACAATTCAATGAATTCAGTTCAACTAAATTCAACAGATATGAATTGCCCAGCTGAGTTAGGCTACTGAGGACAAAGTCAAAAATAACATCTTCCTGGATCTCAAGGCCATAATATACTTGGAAGGACATAATGTATATACACACACAAAAATATAAGAGTTGAAGGAGTGAAAAGTAGAGATCCTAAGTGTCAAAGAATATCTGAGGAGGAAGAGATCCTTCTCAGCTGAGGGGATCAGGGAAGGCTTCATGGAGGAGGCACTCCTTTAGTAGAATGTTAGCTCCTTGAGGGCAGGGATGTTCAGATTTTGTCTCCCCCCCCCCCAAGGCTTAGTACAGTGCTTGGTATATATTGACAGATGCTTATTGAATTGAATCACAAGAGAGTAAGTAACAAGGCAGATATTTAAATAGGTTCCCTGACTTCAGAGCTATCTTTCTTTCCGTTATGCCAAGTTAAAGCATTAAAATAAATAAATATTAAATAAAAATTTATTGTTATTTGGCTCTGTCAACACACTGATGTGCCTCAATAAGCAACTAGTTTTTGTCTGAGTCAGCTGGTTACCAAGTAGTTATTAATATGTATTTGATAAAAGCCAATAATGTCATTCAATAAGTACCCAAGTCAATCAAAATGGTTACACTGCAGATGCATAAAGGCATAGACTTGGAAGAATAGGTTGCCAACTGAAGGAGATTAAAATTACCAAATACTTTAATGCATTATCTTAATCTAACTTCATTGCAGTCCCGTGAGATAGGTATTAAGGCTCTTGGTATTTTCACTTATAACTTAAGAAATGGAGGTTCAGAGAGGTTATGTGATTTGCTGAAAGTCACACAGCAAGAAAATACCAAAGCTAGGGCCTGAATCTTGTTGTTTTCCTTTGGCATACTGAGTAACAAAGCAGAAAATATTGTAAGAAGAATAAAGGAAAATGAGGAAAGAGTCCAGAAAGAAAGAACTGTACTTTGTTGGTGGTAGAAGGAACAGTCAAGCAAGAAAGATAAAGTAAGGCAATTATACTTCAATTTGAACAAAGTCCATTCTAAAGGTCATCAAGTGTGGCTCCTCTTGCTCTCTTTCTCCTCATGAATATCACTCCATCATCACATCCTCAGGGCTTAAGTGTTTTTCTCAGTCCTTTGTCAAAAATCTCAACTCTTTGTGTGAAATACTTTCACAATTAGTCAATTTAGCACAAAGTAAAGGGATTAAGTCTTGTGACCAAGAGTATCTCCAGAAATTTAAACAACCACCACCTTACCCCTTCCCATTGAGTAAAGTCTTACCTATTTTGGTTATCTTCAGTGTTTTGCAATTCACCTTATTTTTTCCTAGTATCACGCACAACTCACAAACATTAATCAGTGAAAATGATCTTGATTTCATAAAATAATCCTTTTCTCTTTTCGTCATCATCTCACATTGTGTGTTGGACATAAACGCACCACTGTGGAATGAGATACAAAGCCAGTATAAATCTAGGACTTCTTGCTAACAATAATAATCAGTAGATCTGACGCTGTCCCCCACCATGGCACCCACCCCTCTGCCAGGATCTAGCTGTTAGAAAACTAAAGGAGATCCCTCTGCCCATCAAATTCCTAGATTGGAACATAAACCCAGCCAAACAGCTTTGGCAGACAGTCTGGCCAGAGCAAACCAAGGGCGGGTCTGGTGCCCACAAATGACTCAGTGATATTTAAAAAAAAATAGTCTGTGATCACTCTCCATAGAATGCCAGGCTTGACTCATTTTTTTTTCACATTAAAAATGTTTTATTCCTGACTTTTATATGACTAGTTTTCTGATGAAACCCCCACCCTTATAGAACCCTCCCTTGTAAATAAAGAAAACAGTTAAGTACAACCAAGTAAGACAGTGACTTTTTCTAACAGAGTGTGCCCTATTTTGCACCAACACCGTGAAGAGGGAGAGATAGCATTATTTTTATATATTTATTTTTGGCTAGGCAATGGGGTTAAGCAACTTGCCCAGCCAGTTAAGTGACTTGTCACACAGCTAGTAAGTGTTATGTGTCTGAGGCCAGATTTGAATTTAGGTCCTCCTGAATTCAGGGCCGGTGCTGTATGCACTGCACCACCTAGCTGCATCGAGGTAGCGTTATTTTTAAAGGAAAATCCCCTGGGATTAGAGAAAAAGAAAGAGTTGTAACAAAGTAGAGATTACATCAGGGACGCTTTCTCTCCTCTTCAATTGTTAGATTCGGGTTCTGAGTATGACTGAATGATTTTACATATACTCTTCTTCTCATTTTCTTGGTATAATCAAGTTGAAATATTATGCATTGGTTCCTGGACCTTCTGAAGAGGGAACAGCCTGCCTAGCTATGAGGTAGCTGAGGCCTGGGTATTAATTCTGAGGTAAATCTGTCCCATTCATATGCAAAGTCTCCCACTATCAAACCGCTGTGGTACATGCTTACAAATAATTAAATATATTTACTTGTAGGGAATTACTTAAAATCATCCCAATGCAATATTTTTAAAAAATCATATATATATAGTTTGTCAATAGAAATTTATACAAATCAAGGCAACAATGGTCAAATCCTATATAATCTGTGTAAAAAAATTGCTAAGTATATTGATTTTGTTGATGCTGTGTCTTGGGACTTTGAAAGACCAAGCAAAGGCATACTCACATATAATTGTCTTGACTAAAGTCATTTTGAAATGCAGCTACCACCCCCACTTTAAAATTGGGGGTTCCCATTTTGCCATTCCTCATCAATCCCCTTATCCTGGCATGGTAGCCCTTTAGGAGTATTTAATTTCTATTTCTCTTGCTCCTCCATCCAAATAGTTCAATTGTAGTATACTTTTGACTATGGAGCAGGCTTTGTGAGTTCTAGGAAGTGTAGTTTGAAGAAGACAAAATTGTCTTCTTCCTGTTCTGGAAGGAGTGCCTGGAGACAGGATGGGGAATTTGAGCTCAGCTCTTCCTGGGCTTCTGAAGAGGAAGGAGTAGCCTTACTCTGAAGGAGGCTACAGCAACACTGAGCAGTACACACGATAAAGAGAAAGGAGCTGTGGGAGAAAGGAGCTCTAGATAACTAGTGCCTTTATCTGTCAAGTAGATGTGGCAAATGGGACAGGTGTGATCAATGTGGGGAGTTTTGGTAAATTTCTCCCTGGCCAAGAATCCAGGCAGCCAATCAGTGTGGTGGATGATAACATCCACCATGGAATAAATAAATTCCATCCTTTCATGTTTTATATCCAGATGAAATTCCCTGAAACCTCTGGAATCCTTCATATGGTGACACCCTACTAGCATTTCCATGAAGCTCTATCAAGGTTCAACCTAGCCCAACATTCCCCATGATTCTCTCTCATCATCTCAGACTTCTGGAAAGATAGATTTTAAGCTTCTTTAGCATAAATTTTGGCTGTTTGGAAATGATCTCACATTTTATAGTGTTGCTACTATAGAACTAATTATTCTTTCCACACTTCTCCCACATTTCATTTGAAATCATGTCTTCACAAAACCTATCAATGACCTTTGGTGAGTTATACCTGTAACATTTTTAGTCCAAAGGGATGAACCCAGATCAATGTTATTTTTTATCCCTTTAATTCATATGAATGATGGCCTAGTTTAATGAACTAAGAACAGTGCTGAAATAAGATGTCTGCCAGGTCATGTTTATAATGGAAATGGACTCCAGCGAAGTATAATGAATTTGAAGCTCATGATGTATTTGAAGACAGCAGCCACACTGTCATAGCCCTCTGCCTCTCGAGTGGATCTGATTCCACATGCTCTATGTACACCTAAGAGATATATAGGTCTTCCCACCAAAACGATTTTTTTTTTAATTGCACCTTAATCCACTTGCTAGTTAATGCCAGCTATTATAGAGTCAAGTTTTCACATCAGTTCCCAAAACCACTGGGATCCAGCATCCTCATAGATAGCTAGTTGTCTCAATGGATAGAGCACTGGACCTGGAGTCAGGAAGACCTGAGTTCAAATCCAGCCTCAGACATTTACCAGCTATGTGAAGCTGGGCAAATTATTTAACCTCTGTCTGCTTCAGTTTTCTCATCTGCAAAATAGGAATAATAGTACCACCTACCTTCCATGGCTATTGAGAGATTAAAATGAGACAAATATAAAATACTTTAGAAACCTTAAAGCATTATAGAAATATTAGCTACCACTATTGCTGCTACTACTACTGCTACTGCTACTTCTTCTTCTGCTACTACTACTAGTGCTGCTGCTACTACAATTTCTTCTTCTTCTTCTTCTTCTTCTTCTTCTTCTTCTTCTTCTTCTTTCTTCTTCTTCTACTATTTATCTTTTTCCAACAAAAAAACCCTGAGTTTGGTGGTATAGATGCCCACTTTGATACCTTGAAAGATCTCACTATGTGAAACTTATATTCACCAATGTAGGGTCACCACATAACACAACTCATCTATTTCTCCTGGAAATCCCCGGCTGGAGATGGCACTAAGTGGAGCCATCCTCCCTTTTTTTGTACCTTAGGTCACCCAGAGCCCACCTGTATCTTTCTGCCAATGTTCGTTTCCCTTTTCCTCCTCCTGACCAGACATTGACTTCATCCTCAATTCTGCCCCTTCTGGAGGGAATTTGGAATTCTTCCCCTATTCTGACTCATAGGCTCCCTCACTCATCCCCTACTTCTCAATAGTGGTCAGCTAGTCCCTTCAAATTTCCTCCCCCACTCCCGCCCCGTGGGACAGAAACTCTCTTGCTCCCTAAAGAATCCTGGGCTTTGCCTTCCGTTCTGCTGCTGCTGTGCCCTTAGGAGCTCTGTGCCTTTCCATCTACCCCTGCAGCTGAACCCTCCCTTTGTGTTGTCTCCTCTAATTAAAATGTCATTCACTTGAGATCAGGAATTATCTTACTTTTCTATCTATACACCCAGCATCTAGCACAGTGCTTGGCACGTAATGCTTAATAAATGCTTTTTCACATAATTTTTCATTGGACCCATAAAACAGGTGATATAGAAGTACCGGAAACATGCTGTGGGATAAATCCAAATATTAGACAAAATATGGGGGCTATAGCATGGCCAAATACTATGAAAGCAAAAGTGGTTTGAATAATTGTTCCATGTGTCCACAATTGGTACTGAAGCAACCAATTGAAGAGTAAAACAAAGTCACGAGCAAATCCATTACTTGGCAGGCACCATATCAAGCAAATTTTTTTCATGAATTTTTCCAAGATGATGAATTATTTGCATTGCAATTTGCATTTGCAATCAATTATTTTTGCATCATCTACTCATAGCCTATAGTACACTGTAACACATCCCCTCTCCCTTTATACTACTCTGTATTCCTGGAAGCACGTTGAAGAAGGATCGTTACAAAGCTGACTGAGCATTCATACACGTGCCACTGAATTTGCTCGAATGTGTTCCACATCACCAGCACAAACTGATGTAATAACAATAATAATAACTCATGTTATATTTATACTGCATTTCGTTTTTCGCTTTGCAATAACCCAGTGAGGCAGAGGTATTATGAATGATAACAAGAAGATGAGCAGATAAAAATGGCTAGAAGCGGAACCACTGATTTCGGTAGTGTCAAAGGAGTACAGTGGTAAAATGTGGAACAGAGGCAGCTGTTGCATAGTGGGGGAGGGAGCTGGCCTGGGAACCACAAAGATGCAGGTTCAAGTTTCGCCTGAGCCAAAAACCTAACTATGAGACCCTGGGGAAATCACTTAACCTGCCAGTGCCCCCAGGCAGCTTTCTAAGATCATAAATTGCAGAGAAGTTGCTAATTTCCCTTGGTAGAGAAAGTGCTCTCACTATGAATTTCCTTTGTCAATGAAATCATAGGTGCAGTTATGTCATTGGTCCTCTTTGAAAATGAAGGACAAACAACAATAACAGACCCTGTTAAAAAGTAGGCACGGCTGAAAGTCGGGACTGCCTGTATTATAGATTGAATCCTGGCTGACTGAGTAGCTCTAAGACATTGGAACTACCTGACCTCATGTTATTGCCTTGGATCTGTTTCAAAGCTGAGGGCTAAGATCATCTACTTCTGAAGTAGGGGGTGGTCTTCTATGAGGTGAAGCTTCAGACAAGCAACACATATACACAATATATTCATACACATATGTATATATATATAGTATGCATGTATACATATATGCATATTGTATAAATAATGCTTGTATATGTGATATATAATGTAATGCATATATATATAGCTTAGATATTAATGACAGTCAAAAGGTACTTTGATAAAGCAAGCTGCCTTGCTATTGAACTAACAGTATCTCTCATCTATACTATCTCATGTCATCTTCACAGCAACTTTGTTGAGGTGAGGATAAATCATTTCTTCAGACAAGGAAACTGAGTCTGAAAAGGGTGGAGAGACATACCAAGGTCACACAGCTGGGAAGAGGCAGAGCAGGGCTCCAAGTCTCTGGATTCATGCTCTTTCTACTATACCACAAACTAAAAGGCACTTTTGTTTTGCTGTTCCCCTTCCTGCTTGTCTCCTAGTACTCATGAGAACCACGATCTCAATTCTACCCATGGCTGTGTGTACATTTAGTTCAATGAAACAGATATTTATTAAACACCTACTATGGGCAAGGCACTGTGTTAGGAACACAAAAGCCACTGAGGTCCACAGTTGATGTGTACAAAATGGCAAAAGGACAACTAAAGAATCTGAGTCAATTTTTTTTTCTTTTCTGAAATTGTTTTTGTGTAGTTTTTCCTTCATTCATTTCATCTAGGGCTTGGGATTGAGATTCTATAATTTAGACTTTCATAATCAAGGAAATCTATTCCATTTTTCATATTGGTTGCTCATTCTACAGTTAGAGGCTGATAAGTAGAGAGGAATTATTTCTCACTTGGGAAAATGATCTTAAAAAGGATTTCATAAAGATGCTCAAGGTATTTGGATATATTGTGAAAAAACTAGTTATGTCCCTCTCCTCTTCTGGCCAAGTATATAGTTGTTGTGCAGAAATCCTGGGCTTCATTCATACCTGGGCCACCTAAATATAAGCATAGATGAGATAGGGCTGATTTGGTATTATCAGGGTGGTTCTGCAGCTGGCTTACTGAGAAAAATGGACTAGATGCAGCCCGTGGCACAATGGATAGAGCATTAGACCTGGACTTAGGAAGACCTAAGTTCAAATCCGTCCTCAGACACTAGCTTTGTGGTTCTGAGCAAGTCACTTAACTTCTGCCTCAGTTTCCTCATCTGAAACAGAAGGGATAACAATAGCACCTACCTCCCAGAATTATTGTGAGGATACATTGAGACAATATTTGTAAAGTGCATTGAAGACCTTTAAAGCACTATCTAAATATTAGTAGTTGTTGTTGATGTTGTTAAAGACCTAGGTTCTAGTTCTGGCTCCAGACTCAACTAGTCTTGTGACCCTAGGCAAATCACTTCATCTCTTATATGCTCAGTTTCCTCATCTAAGAAATGAGGGAATCAAGCCAGATGATTTCAAACATTCCTTCCCACTCTAACAGCATATGAGTCTATGTGTGCTCCAAAAGGAAAATCTCTGTTTAGCTCAACAGAGTATTTCTCTAATTGGTGGCCAAGGGAGAAACTTCAGAGGGGTCTGAAATTATAATGACCTGCATGACAGTTTGGTAGCTGGGGCAGCAAACTCTTAAATGAATCTGAGCTCCCATCTTTCATTTCCTGTACCTCCCTTTTACACGCTCCCTTTCTTAGTCTTTCCTAGCATCTAGAATCTAATATTAAGCTTAGGAGGAAATAGGAGCTACAGAGCTATCAAGGAGAGAGTGTGATGAACTAAGGATCTGTGTGTTTATGACCATGCACGTATGTGCGTGTGTGCGTGTGTGTGTGTGTGTGGTGTGTGTGTGTGTGTGTGTGTGTGTACTAACAATCGTTCTCAGGGAAGTTAGGTTATTCATGAAATGGAAAAGTTGGATAATTCTGGCATCAATATAAGAAGTCTTTTTTTTTTTCAGGAGTGTGACACACAGAGGTACTAATAGAGGCTTCGTACCTTCTACCCTCCCCAAACAAAAACAAAAAACCGCAATAGTTTCTCACCACAGCTCGAGCCCCAGATTGGTGCTGTTGAGTGACGAGTCATTGAAAGAACAAGTCAGAGTGTGCTGTTGGCCATGGACTTGCAATTGGCTATAGCAAGTGAATTCATAATCATCTTGTTCCTCATCTTCAAACTCATCTGGAGAATAACACAGAGATTATTAGTTAAGTAAGAGATTGCAGAGATTGCATTAACTGAAAATGTGGGATATGTAGCAGGAAGTAAGACGATTTATTTAAGATACTTTTCTGAGGGCACTAAAGGGGAGAGTTAGGTTTTCTTTATGAAACAATAAAAATAATCATGAATGGGGTGGTGTCAGGGGAAAGAGGGATGAGGTTAAAAAAAGATATAACATGTGCCCAGAAATAATTTCATGATTTAAAAGACTGTCATAATATGTGCTCTCTTCCGCTTATTTTATCTAATTTGTATCATATTTATTTATGAATATGCCATCAATTACTTAGAATAGATAGCAAAGTTTTAGAGGGAAGGGATTGTTTTATTTATCATTGTATCTCCAACCAATCTTAGCATAGCATCTCACATGTAGTATTTATATAGGATCATAGGGTTAGAGATACAAGGGAACTTGGAGGTCATCTTGTCCACTCTCCTCTATTTCAGAGATGAGAAACTGAGTCTCAGAGATGTGAGGTGACTTGCCTAAAGTTACTTAGGTACCAAGTGGCAGAGCTGGGGTTCAAACCCAGATTGTGTGATGACACACCCAGCACTCTGTCCAGTATGCCATGCTGTGTCTTAGCCATTTAATAAATTTGAAAAACAGTTGTTGAATGGATGAAAGCAGAAAAAAGTAGACATTGTGCAATGATTGAGTGTGTTTTTTCATTTAGACAGAGTTTAGCTTTGCCACTGGAATGCATTAAAAAAACATTTCTTAAGTACTTTCTATGTGCCAAGTACTATGCTAAGTGCTGTGGGTATAACTGGAAAAACCAAAAGACAGTCCCTTTGCTCTCAAGGGACTCACACCCTACAATTGAGGAAGATGATAAATTAAATATAGTTCAAATTATGCTCTTTGGAGCTCATTTTCCTCTTCTGTAAAATCTAGGTGGCAGATAAAATGAATTCTAGGGTCCCTGCCAGTACCAAAATTCTCTGTGATCCTTTAATTGATCTATTTGCTTAGTTAATTGTAAGTCAGAGTTAATACATACCATTGCTTTGGTTCTTAACCTATAATCTGAATTTACTATTACTTTTAATTTTTCTTTATTAGGGGAAAAGAGCCAATAAACCTAATAATATAATAAGAATGGAATGGGTATTTATTAAGAGCCTACTACATACCAGGTACTGTGCTAAGCACTTTACCAATACCATCTCATTTTATTCCCCACAGCAACCCTGTGAGGTAGTTGCTATCATTATCTCCATTTTATAGTTGAAGAAACTGAGGCCAATAGGTTAAGTGACTTGTTCAGGGTCACACAGTTAATAAGTTTCTGATACTAGATTTGAACTCAGGTCTTTCTGAGTCCAAGCCCAGCACTCTATTCACTGTGCCACCTAGCTGCCTCTAGTAATAACAATTGACATGTATGTAATGATGATAATAATAGCTAACATTTATGTAGTACTTACTATTTGCCATGTGCTAAGCACTTTATAATTATCTCACTTTATCCCTACAACAACAATGTGAAGTAGGTGCAATTATTATCCCCATTTTATAGATGAAGAAACTGAGGCAGACAGAAGTCAAGTGACTTTCCCAGGGTCACACATCTGTTAAGTGTCTGAAGCTAGATTTGAACTCAGGCCCAGTGTGTGCTTTCTACTGTACCATTTAGCTGCCTCCAATAATAACAATTGACTTTTACGTAGTGCTTTAAAGGTTTGCAAAGTGCTTTCATACATTATCTTATATTATTTTCATAACAATCTTATAAGTGCTACAGATCCCTATTTCACAGGTGAGGAAACGGAGGCTAAAAGGTTAAGTGTGCCTAGAGGCATACAAATTAGTAAGTTTCTGAGGTGGTATTTGGACCTACATCTTCCTGACTCTAACACTACACATTATGTTATGCTTATCATCGCAGATCCAGATTCTTGACTCAATGGATCACTTTTCCTACCCACTTCTGTGGGATCTTAGCTAAGATGCACAACTCCACTGACAGATGGTGATGTGACAATTTGTTTCAGGGTGCACCAGGGATGGTGAAAAGATCCTAGATTTAGAAAAGGAAGGCCTTGAGTCTAGGTTACATGAGAGTTAAGTCTGAGAAACAGGAGATACTTAGCCTAGAGATGAGAAGACTTTGGGGAGACATGATGACTGTCTTTAAGTATCTGAAAAGTGGTTATATTGAAGAGGGATAAGACTTATTTTGTTTGGCTCCAACAAGTAGAACCAAAGGTTAATAGGTGCAAGCTACAAAGAAGCAAATTTAAATTTGATGTCAGGAAAAAATTCTTAATGATTAGAGCTGCCCAGAAATGGAACTGGCCACCTCAAGAGCTGGTGGGTTCTTCCTCCTTAGAAGCCTTCAAGTACTGGCTGGATGACCATTTGTTGTTGTATGTTAGGAAATCTAGTGGGGATTCCTATTTGGGTATAGGTTGAACTAGTTGATTCTCAGTAGTCTTTCAAAATTCTGTGTTGGTCCCATGAAGGCATAATTTCTGTGTAAGACATTTTCTGAGAAGTTAAGAAAGATCACACTGTATCAAATCCATAGACCATTCAGCCCAGAGCTATAAATTCCAATGGAGGACCAAGGGACACAAATCCTTCCTCTCTCTGATGCAAGCCGTAAAAAATGGGCATATTCAAGCCTCTATTAGTCACTGTTTCTGGCTCATAAGTTTATCACAGCTGTTTGATTCTACTTCTATTGGATGTTTGTATTGCATCTTAGGATAAGGAGTTTTTTACATTTCTTAACCACCATGTGAAGCAGTTTTCTCTCTTATTTGTCTTCCTTTACCTTGTTCAAGTTTCAAATGTAGGTTGACCTGAACCATACTTCATGAATTTATAAAATCAACATCTTCCTCCTCCTATTTTGCTTTCCCAGACAGAAAAAGATTTCCTCTCCCTCCTCCTCCCTCTCTGTCCTTCTTCCTTCTCCTCCCCCACCTCCTCCTCTTTTCCTTATTTTTGGCCCTAGCATTTCCTTTCCCATCATTCCATCAGCTCCTCTTTGGACCTTCTATAGTTCTATCATGCATAATCATTATAACATGTTTTGTTAATCACAAAGGAAATGGGACAAATTTGGGGGAAGGTTGGGGTTCAGATCTGTTAACTCATTGGCATGAGGAAACTTCTGGCATGGAAACTCCTCCCCCCCCCTCACTGACACAGATCAGCTACTAGCCTGTATTTTATGGTCTTAATCAGTTGCCTAGACCACTGAGAAGTGACTTGCCCAAGGTTCCATAGCTCCATCAGAGATAGAACTTGAACCCAGGTCTTCCAAGACCCACCCTCTGTCTCTCTGTGGGTTAGATTAGGTCCCTCTAAATGTATCAAACTCAGAGCAATCCAAGCTTAGTCTATGATGTGATCAGCACTGGCATTAGAAGAATGTTTCATGGAACTTAGTTTGCCTCAGTGTATCAGCTACACTGTGCATAGAGTCTACCATCCTCTCATTAAACTGCTTGTTTTTTATTTTTTTATTTAATTTTTTAAATTTTTAGGCAATTGGGATTAGGTGACTTGCCCAAGGTCACACAGCTAGTAAGTGTCAAGTGTTTGGTCTGGGGCTGGATTTGAACTCAGGTCCTCCTGACTTCAGGGCCCATGCTCTATCCACTGCGCCACCTAGCTGCCCCAAAGTGCTTGTTTTTAGAAGCAATTTCTTGACTGTTACCTTACATCTTGGTCCCGACATATACTAGCATGTTTCTGTACCTTATATCTGTAAAATGGATATGATACTTGGTACTACCTATCCAGCAGGGCTATTATGAGAAAGAAACTTTGTAAACCTGTAACTGTTGCATAATTGTGAGTGGGTGAAGAGGATGCAACAGTGTAAGGATGCTGCAGGGTATCATCATCCCTGAACTTAGAGGAGTTTTTATTGTTTTTTTCTTTGCGAACAGCGTCTGGCAAGTTACTGGAGTTCTCAAAGTCCAAGGAAGCTGAAAAGTCTTTGGACGGCTCAGAGCATAATTTAAACAAGAGCTCCAAAATTCAGACCTTGTTGATGTTAGAATCCTTGGCTTCCTTCCAGGTGCAGTTCAATCACTGCCTCTTTCAAAAAACCTTTCCTGAATGTGCTAGTTGTTAGTGCCTTCTAACCAACTGTTTGTGTGCAGTCATCCAGCTGTGTCCCACTCTTTCTGACCCCATAGCCCATAGCCGCCAATACTGTCCATGGAGTTTTCTTGGCAAAGATATTGGAATAGTTTGCCATTCCCTTCTCCAATGGATTAAGGCAAACAGAAGTTAAGTGACTTGCCCAGGGTCATGCAGCTGGTAAGTGTCTGAGGCTGGATTTGAACTCGGGTCTCCTTGACTCCAGGCTCAGTGCTCTATCCACTGAGCCACTCAGCTGCTTCCTAACCAATTACTGTGTATTTATTTTGCAAATATTCTAGATTTATTCATCTATGGCCATGTATGCTGTCTCCTCCTAGTATAAGGAGGAGACATAAACTTTGTTTCTCAAGCACTTAACTTAGTGCCTGACACATAACAGTGGCTAAATAAATGCTACTGAAGAATTGATTAACTGATTAATTTATTGACTTGTATCTTATCACTACCAAACTAAAATGTTTCAGAGTTGAGGTGACCATTCTTCACAGGCACATGTAGTATTTCTCCCCTGCCCTTTCATCAGAAATTTAAGCACATTCCAAGTAAAAACCAAAATTTCCACTTGAGTCACTCAAGGTTTTAAGAGTCATCATGTAAAAAAAAAGATCACAATATGTGCTAACATGCTTTTTCTATATTCAGGATTCATTTTCTGTTCAAAGCACAAGACTGCATTTACTATGAACTAATAAGCATCTCTGTGAAATGATTCATAGCATAGTCAGATTGCGAAAAAATGTTAATTCTATGACTTTTGTTCTCTGTGATGAGAAAATGTCAGTGATTTCCCTATTTAGTAGTTATATTGTAAAATATCTAAACTGAGTCATTAGAGCTAGTGGGTTTGATTCCATCTCTTGAAAAATGTTTCAAACTATCAAAGTAAAAGAACTTAATTACAGGAATGAATTGATATGAGTAAACTCCCCAAAGTGCTGATGTTTGCTTCCTTCTTGCCAACTGTTTGCTGGAATGCTCATGGATTGGCGCTATCTCTCTGTATGTATGTTTCCTAGCACTAGGATTATCACAGCAATGGTTCATCGTTTCATTCAGATTCAGTAATGGTGGCTTGTTAAAGAAAGTTTGTGTATTCAGGATCTCTGGCAAGTTGATTTCAAGGAAATTATTCTGTTTTTTTCTTGACTAATATTTCCTAGAGATTTAAAATCAAGCCCAGGGGTCCAGTGGAAAGAGTAGTGGACTGGGAGCCTGGAGAGCTGGATTCTGGTCCTGTGCTTGCTGTTCTCCATCAGGGCCAATTGTGTGAAACCTCCTAGATGGAAGGACAATTGAAGTCACCCAGTCCAACCTCTCTGGACTTTTTATTAACTGTAGAATGAAGGGGTTGGACTCTATCACCTCTAACGTCCCTTCATGTGCCAATATTCTGCAATCTCTTCTGTTAAAAAACTTCAAACTTCAGTGGGTTTGCACTGTGCTTTTGGCACCAAGTCCACACTTTGGAAGTTCCCTAAAGCCCTATTGAATAAACTCATAAGGTGCAAATGGCATGGAGTTTTCTACTTGGGATTAACTCTTAAAATCTATTGCTTGTGGAGGTTACAGGTCTCTATCTTTCCTTTAAAAGAAATGATATCCACCCAGATTTAACATCCAGCTTTCAGAAAGGCTAGTTCCTTCCTTCTGGATATTTGGGATTTAAATTATGAAGCAGGAGTTAATATGATTACCCATTCTCCAATGCTCTTGATTCTCAGAATAATTTAGTTTTTAGTGATCATCTAAATCCTCAGCCCTGATCAGAAGCACATGCCCAGGTCCTTATCACTCTTCATGAGTCCCTAAGACTCTCATGGGTCTGAACAACCCGAAAGAAGGCTTCAGAGTCCCATAATCCTAAAAAAAAAGTTTGAAATGACTCACCATCCTGTCCGAAGCCACTTTCTCCAGAAGAAGAGTGAAGTAAAAAGAATATGATACCAATAGTTGTACTGAGAACTGTCATTTTGAGAGAGAGAGAGAGAGAGAGAGAGAGAGAGAGAGAGAGAGAGAGAGAGAGAACCAGAGCCAGTGAGAATCTGTGCCTGTGTAAGTGAGAGAAAAAGTTGGGGATGCAGCTTTATAGACCAACACTAAGTAACTCTGTCTTGCTTAACCACAGCCAGGAGGAAATATAAACACATGAGAAATGAAGACAAGTGTCAGCAACAGGAAGCCTGAGTACTTGCTGAATTGTAGTAAGTAGAGAGGAGTGCTGACTTTTTACTGGAAATGGGGGATTATGAGCCTTTGTTTACTGCAGCTCCTGGGGGTTCTTCTGGTCTCCCCATATCTCTAAACTTATTACACACCAAGGCAGTGGTTCCAAATAAAGTACCTAGGTGGCTCATCTTCTCACTGATGAGAAATAGCCATCTAGGCTCCACATAGCATACAAAATCCCTATTGTTAAAACCGAAAAAAAAAAAGGGAGGGAAATACTCTGAGGTCCCTTCCAGCTCGCTAGAGGGTATGATTTCTTACCCGAACAGAAAGATTATGTGTCCTTCAAAGATTTTATCACAGAATTCTTTTAAATAAACTAGCTCTTTAGTACCCTTTAAGAGCCAACTCAATGTACATCCAGTCAAATGCAAGCTCCCTGAGGGTAGGGACTGTATTTTGCTTTTTTGTGTATCCCCTGCACTTAGCATAGTGCCTGGCACACAGTAGGTGCGTACAAAATATTTGTTGAGTTGGATTTACAAAAACCTGATTTAACCACAACATTCTAGAAACTCTTTGCATGAGAAGAATTGACCTTTCGTTATTTTCAGTAGGCGTTTTTCACATTACTTCTCTAAAGTCAAATCATTAAATAAATGTATATTAATATACACAGTGAGATTTAGTGGATAGGGAACTGGTCTTGGAGTCAGAAGAATGTAGTTCAAGTTCCGCTCCTGACACATACTGACCATCAGATTCTGGCCAAGTCATTTAAGCTCCCAATGCTCTGGACAATGCTCTAGAATTATGAAGTTGGACAGAAGATGATACCTGCATTGATGGAAGGAGGCTCTTCATATAGGGAGATCCCTACACCAACAAAAGCATAGATCCAGTCCCTATCCCTATATGTATATGTGTGTGTATAATATACACTTTTGCCTATAGATGATATAGAAATCTATGTCTATATCTATAATATATAATATATACACACATCTATTTAGGATAGATACTATGCTATAAGATATTATAGATACTGTATTGTAGATACAATAGTCTACATATCTACATATATTATATACCTGCATATCATGTATGCATATATTTTATATGATTTACTTATATATTTATAGCTAGCTATCATCTATCTACCATTTATCAATCTATCTACCTATAATAATGGGGTTTGAAAAAAACCATGATGTGGGGGATGAATTATCAAAAAATAAGTTGAGAAATGAGTGTGTCTAGTTACCTGAGCCATGATCATTGACACATCTCCTTTGTTCAAGTAAGCTGGATTCAAGAGAAGACCCTTAGAAATAGAATAGAAATAGTAACATTGAGGTCTGACAGAGGTCAGGAACTTTGAAATCTGTTACACAAGTTCAGTCGCAGAAACAGAGCGGGAAGGGACCCTAGAAGTCATCTAGTCCAACTTTTATTTTGCAGGTGTAGAAACTGAGATCCAGAGATGTGAATAGAGCTGTTATTCAAACCTAGGTCTTCTGACTGTAAGTCCTTGACTTATCCCACTATACTGACTATCTGTGGGTGATATTTGCCTCAGGGAAACCTTGTTTAAAAATATAATGGTCTAGATGGAGATGTATTATCTGCTGGACTCAGAACCTTTAGGAGAAATTGAGGCTAGATACTGTCCTAAGACAAGAGGAAATGAAGCCAAGCTCCACCCAAAGGGGTGATCAGCCATAGTTATTGGCCAATTAGTTTACTTCAGGCAAATGAATCAGAAATAAGAAGGTCAAGTATGAGTTAGGAATCTCTGGGATGGGAACAATAGAAAATTAGTTTCATTGCTTGAGGTGTTTTCCAAAGATTCTGGCTGCTGGAGAATAATCTGACTTTCTTGGAGAGAACGAAGAGAAAGGAAGGGAGAGGAGGGAAAGGCAGTACCAGTCCTTTGATTCTCTGGACTCTACTGAGGAACATTGCTATCCATGACAGAAGCTGAGACATAAAAATGGCAGCATTTGGTGGTGGGGGGGATGGGGCAAAGTTTCCCTTTCTCTCTCTTTTCCTCTGCCCTCTCTTCCTCTTTTGTTCCTTTCTCTTTCTCTCCTTTCCTTGAAGGGGAAATAATATATTCACAGATAAGTAACAGAAGGTGAAGGAAGCCATTACAAGGTTAGTGTAGGTCACTGTGAAGCTCATGGATATGTCTCCTGGTCACACAGGCAAATGCCTTCTGCTAGCCCAGAGTTCCATATCCAGGTATAAGAATAGGAAGCAGGTTCTAGGAAGAGTGAGAAAGCTAACACTCTTGCCATATCTCATCCATTAAACAAATTTTGGTCTCAGAGCCTAGGAGTGTGGTCTATGACCCAACTGAGATAGAATTGGGGCCAGCTCAGAAAAAATAACAACAGGATTCATCTGGAGGAGTACAGGGTCAGGAACTTCAACGAAACCAGAGGACAAAGATGTGAAGGAACTAGTATCAGACTTTAAACTATATTATAAAGTGAGAGCTCTGTTGAAGTGTAAAATGGATGATTTTGATTATTTTAAGTTAAACTTTTCCTGTATAAATAAAACCTATGTAGCCAAGAATAGAAGGAATGAAGAAAATTGAGAAAAAACTCTCATAGACAATGTCCCAGATAAAATGTGATTGGGTTGGGAATATTGTTATGGTGTAGGAAATGATGAGATTTAGATTTAGAAAAATGTAGAAAGTTTTGGACTTATGAGGGAAGATGCTAACCACCTACAGAGAAACAGATGACAAGTAGAAATAAACATAGTATGGTCTTATGTATATGCCCTTGAGTATACATGTGTATATATACATATGTATGTTTATGGATATCTATGTATGTATATTATATATGTATATATGTGCATATATATATGTGCATACACACATATACATAGGGGGGAAGGGGAAAAACAGTAAAAACTGCACAGCAGAGGACAAAAGAAAATCTACAAATAAGCCAAGTTGGATAGTTTTGAAAACAATGCATAGTATTTATTATGTAGATTTTCTTGAAATGGAAATTTGTTGCTTTGTATTGAATCCTCTCATGTTCTGTTGTGTACATAGCAATTTTTTTCTTAAGTTTAAAATAAATTAAAAACTTAAAAAAAAGGATTGCGGCCAGTTGATTGGGGTCATTAAGGATGTAAGGACTAAAATGTTGACCAGGTTAGGGGGAAGAGGTCAGTCACAGGGTGGGGTGACCTTAGAGAGATCTAGACAGCACTTTGAGTGTGTGCACAGGAGACCAAGGTTAGCTTTTCGGGCTTTTCTAAGTTTGCTGCTTTCTCCCTTTGGTATGATATTTTTCATCCTTGTTTAGGAAAACCCAGTAACATTTCTGGGTAGAAGTTTCCTTATCTGTAAAATGAGGGTTAGACTCGATGGAGAGAGTGCTGGATCTGAACTCAGGATCAGGGTTCAAATCTTAGTTCTTTCATTCTTTGACTACTTTTGTACTCTTGTCTTCAGTTTCCTCATCTGTAAAATAGGGAAGTTTATTACCTCATTTTATGACCTGCAAGGACCTCTTCTTCTAAATCTATGTGCCTGTAATCCTGTAAGACCTGAGTCCCTATCAAACTGAATATATGATCCTATGATCTGTCAGACAAATAGGAAGCTTTGGGTCCAGGAGGTCAGCATCTTCCCCCGCTACTGCATTGCCTCTAGACCTGTCATTATGTAGACTTGGAATCTGGGTTTCTTAAAAACCATTAAGAATTTTAAAATGACCCTCAACCTAAAGTCAGTGTGTTGCATGAGCCAATATCTTTCTTCCCCATCCTTACACAAGCAGGAAGCCAGGGGTGAGGAGGTGTGTGGGAGGCTCCAAAGCCTCCTTTCAATGAGAAGCTTATGATTAACCCCGGCCATTGAAGTTCCTCTTCAGCTGGAAGAGAGACGCTCAACAAGAGGGTATCTTTCTTGCTTCTAGACTTGATGGGACTCCACAGAATATTCTAGAGTGGAGAATGGAGGAATGATGGTGGAGAAAGTGATTAGGATGGGCAGCAGCTGGCCAGGTAATTGGCTCTCCCTGTGAGAGGTTTTCCCTAAAGGATCAGGAAGGACCCAACTCTAACGATTCTTTCAGCATCTTTGTGCTCTCCATTAAGAGCTACCCTCCTCCTTTTAATATCATTAATTCAAGAACCTGGTTAGGAAACACCAAGCGATAAAAATCAATACAGGCTATTCATGGGGGCGAGTCCTTTATGAAACTGCACTCTGTTGAGTTAACCAGCACTGAATTCCCACCAATATTATACTTACACCTTCCTCTGTAGAGTTTACCCATGAATTGGGAGCTGAACTGGGTCATGTCTCTTTAAATTCTCTTGTTTATCACTTAAATGGACTATCATTTTGATTTTATCTCTTTCCTTCAGATGTGAAGAAGCAAAAGAACAAAAAAGGGCACAATATTTTGGTTTAGCTTCTGATCTTCAGCTTAGGGGATTTCCACTGGTATACTCTCTTTGGGTGGGGACAGGGGATGCTCTCTGAGGAACCAGAGAGAAGAGTCCAAAGTAAACTGCCCCAAGAAGCGAAGCAAATGAGTTTCATTGCTTGAGGTCTTTTCCAAAGACTCTGGCTGCTGGAGAATAATCTGACTTTCTTGGAGAGAATGAAGAGGAGGGGAAGGGAGAGGAGAGAAAGGCAGGACGAGTCCTTTGATTCTTTCAACTCTAGTAAGGAACATTGGCATCCATGAGAGAAGCTGATACATAAAAATGGCAGCATTGGGTGGGGGGAGGGGATGGACTACATCTCCACCATCATTCCTCCATTTTCCACTCTGGAATATTCTTTGGAGTCCCATCAAGTCTAGAAAAGGGTCAGAAGCAAGAAAGATACCCTCTCATTGAGGGTCTTTCTCCCAGT